CGCAACACAGAATCTTTGCTGTTATAAAACGGTATTTCATGGTAATGCTTATAAGGAATTCGTGAAACTGTTTGCTTGAAATTCGTGTAGCTGCTTTCACCACTCAGAGAATACACCTTAGTGCTGTTGGTAATCGTATCACGAGAGTGTGCCTTAAGTTGAAGTGATTTTGGGTTGACGTGCATTCACACAAGTGTTCTGATACATCTTACTCTTGTAGACTCTTACCAAGCAAGTAGGAGTGAAATGAAGTCGACAACGACAACTACAGGTGTTGCTAGCACTGCCCTGCCCACACCCTCATTGCGATACGCGACCTCAATACCGGTCAGGACTACTGTATCCACATCTTATAGTAACTCTCATAAAGGTATACCATCACATTCATCAGCCACAGCAACCATCTTCGAATCACACCCCTAACAATCTTCACATTCACTTTTCTTTTTCCTTCTTCTCATTTTCTTTGTGCTTTTCATCAATAATATCATCGCCAATTCGCACTCTCATTCGACGACTTCCAACGATTCTTTCACATTTCCTTCGTTTTGTTTGCAATAATTCCACTCTTTCGACTTAAATCTGTTCGGACGATTAACATCGTTTGAACTGAAATGCATTAGCACCGTAAGGACAGCACATTGCTGACGTTACTTTTTGATTGCTTCGCTCTTGTTTCTCAAACAAAAATTAGACTCTATTCAATAAAGATTTCGAAAAAAAACATCGTAAATAAGAACTATACAAATTTATATACAAGAAAATGTTTCAAGGTTGTTAATAAATGTTGAACTTTTTTAGATGGTGGAGCAGCAGGAGTAAATCAAATGGGTGCTGCAGGGGCGAGTCAAATGAGTGAAATGCGTAGTCAAGCAAGTCAAATGCATGATACAGGTCAGTCGAGCCAGATTCGTGATATGAATCAGTTGAGCGAAATGCATGAACTGAGTCGAATGGGTGGCATTGGCGGTGTGACGAGCCAATTGAGTGGTCAAACAAGCCAAATGCGTGATGCAGGTCAATCAAGCCAGATGCGTGACATGAGTGAAATGCATGAACTGAGTCAACTGAGTAGTGTTGGTGGTGGAACGAGTCATCAGATGCGCGAAATGACGACGACGCAAATGGGTGGTGCTGCGATGGGTCCTTCATCACACAATTGGCCAGATGATCTGATTAATATCGTTAACGAACCGATGGGACAAACGATGGATCGCATGAAGAAGTACAGTACTTCCATGTCACATGTCGATCGTGGTATGATCACTTCGCCAGATACTTTCTAAAGACACCTTTTGCACTATAATTTTTAAACTTTTTCGTTTTTCCGTTCGATTGAAATCTTTGCTTGCTGATTACCGCTTAGCAGCATCGCTCAGCCGAGATGTGAAAAGTTCAAATCAGATCTGCGTTCCAGTTTTACTAAATTTCAATGATTTAATGCAGTGAATGTAATTGGCAGTATTCACATTTGAAGCCACAACGTTGAATGGATTATAGTGTGTAGTATTGTGGTGCGGGACTGAAGAAAGTCGGCAATAAATTTGCACTCGGAGACCCCGAATACGAGTGCACTTTCGGAGTTCCCGACCGCAAATTTCATTCCCCGACTTCCTTGTGTCCGCTTTTTTTTAGTGCACAACACTAGTGTGTAGTATTCGCTTCTATAGCTCCTGTTGCAATCTCCATACTTATGCACTTCGAGAAAAGTTTTTCTATTTGTGTTTACGATAACATTTCATATTTTCAGATGGCGGTGATGAAGGAGCCATCAAGGAAAGTGTTGAAGAGCGATATCAACGTTCTTATAAAGAGGTTCTTTATTGAGCTGAAAGAAACTCTATTATATTTTGTTTTTGTTTGAGTCGCTGTTCCTTCAACTATTCCGTTCGATTGATTGGGCATTATTCATTTGCACAATCCTGCAACGTCCTCGTAGCAAATAACTTACCTTAACTTATTGTTAGCCAAGTGCACTAATCGCTGTTGATTCTCAAAAGCATTCTCGCGTTGAGTTACACCGATCTGCAACTGTCAGTCTTGAAATGATAGCGATTGAGCTGAGTGATTTTCATGAAATAAACCGATAATGTATTGAGTAAAATTTCAGGAATATTCGACAGGTGGTCACTAAGAAGAAATATTACGTTCGGTGCTTTGATAGCGGTGCTCGGTGATTGCGTTCATAACGCCATTATTATATTGCTATTTTCGCTATTTTCTTGATTGAATTCTATTTTTTCTGATTATTCTATCGGATTGATGATCGATTTGGTTGCATTTTTATACATACGATGTGTTTCGTTTTCCGTCATCATCTTCTTCATTACTGATACATTTCGTTTCTTTTTGATAAAGATTTTATTATCCTTGTTATAATGATGTTTGTCTTGTTCGAAGAGTGTTATAGACCCGAATGTTTTTCCTCAACGCATCACTGTCATAAACGCGGCTAGTTTGCTCATTATTATTATTATTACTGATATTATTAACATTATTACCATCATATTATACATAATAAATGTTTTTGTTTGATTTCACTTTGTTTCTATTCCAATTGAATAATGCAACTAGAATTGGCACTAGGAGCACCCGTTAAAAATTATATCTTCAAATTAAATTGATGATTTTGTTGACTAGCAAATGCATGGAAACAATCATGTCGCTGAATAAATCGTTAGTTGATTCAGAGTGATAATTGTGGATCTAAAGAGTCAACTCTATTGAAAGAAAGTAATCATGACCACGTCGTTGAATCTTACAGAGTCGCAACAAAGTGCATTTTAAAAGAATCTCATAGAACGGTATGGCCATTCACTAATGACGCGAACTATTTTGACTTTTGTCTTTCTTGTTTCCTAATTTTCGAATGAACGGCGATAACTTGTCGATATCTCACACGAAGGATGAGCCTCATGCTGAATTGATTCATTTAACTCGATATCATCTCAATTGATGAAGAATTATGAACAATATAGAAAAGCAGTGAAAATGTTCAACTTCATAAATTTTGGAATTCTTGCAGCAAACAAGATTGGTTATTTTTTCACTGATGCTCAACGAGACTTGCTTCATCTCAGTAATCGAATACGATTTTTGGTGATATTTGTATTTGTATCAGTGAGAAAAACGACGAATGAATCAGTAAAACATAAAGAAAAATAATCATCTAAAAGTTTGGTGAGAAAATCACGCTAAGAAATGTTATAGTAAGAACGCAATATCGAATATAAATATTTATTCATGCTAATAGTTTTTAGCAGTCATTTTACAATAGACAGACACATATTACGTTTATGATGCATATGTGCTATTGGCTTGTTGATTGTTTGATAACGTTTTATTTTATTGTGTGGCATAAACACATTCTAGATGCAACTCATCCACATTCGTCCATATTGCACACTAGCGAACACCGAACGGTAGACATCATGAGGGAGGTTTTTTTTTGTTAGATGCCAAATAGATAGACACGCCGTCTGTCTGACATTTTAACATCGATCGTAGTTTTTTGATGCTGGATTGAATGCGATAAAGTTTGAACACATATCACTCACATGTTGCACAATTTTTTATGATAATGCAATATTAATGGCAAAATGAGCTAAGATTGGATTCGTCTGCGCGAATTAATGGCGTGGACAGCGATCGGCATCCCTAATCACCTGTTGTACATGCTTTCGAAATTGTTAGGTGCATTGCATGAAACTTGTGTCCGTATAACTAGATCGAGCTTAACTTATTTGTTTGTTGATTCAGCTAGACAACTTGTCTGTTGGAGTGTTGTTCTGGTAAGATCATTCTTCCAGTAAAATGTATGAATTATCATCATTCTTCCTTTCGCTAAGAAAAGATAAGGATTCTGAATCTGTATCATAGTTTATTGATGAGGAAAAGAGTTGATATCTGGTTACTATGTTGAAGGTTAGTTTTTCGAACTGTCTGGCAGCATTCATCAGTGGATTTGCGTTTGATTTGTGAATTTATTGTTGATCTGAGTGTAATTTTCGATGCTTCGATTGATTAACAAATGAATTTGAAGTTTTATATGAAAGGATTAAGTCATGCTGTCATCATCAAAGTAGATACGAATGATGCGTTGATATGACAATGTTAATTAATGTATTGCATAAATATGGAAGAAAAATTTTACTGATGTGTAATCGTGCATATGGCAGTAATAATACTATTAATAATGAACGAGATGAATAATTGTTTAGAGATCTTGATCGTCTTCGAGTGCTTCCAATAGCCAAAACGGGTATTTTGGTACGATTGTTGGTTGGGTGGTGTCCGAGGTGATCGTTTCGATAAACATAGCATCGCACCGCTGATTATCTATCTATCTTCATATACTCGAAACTAGACGAGGTTCGATGACCGGCCACTTACAATTAGATTTGTTGTATTCATATTAGAGAGACATCATACCGCTACCCGTTTCCATACTCTTAAACTCTTTCATTCTCCTTTTATTCATTCACTTTATATTCATTTACTTTATATTCGTATTTGAATGCAATCACGACATCCTACTACAACTACAAACAAATACACTCATCTAAATCACACTTGTTCCTGTACACACTCAAATGCCCGTANGAATAAAACGTTCATTGAGAGCAGTGTTGGAAATGTGGAATATGATATGGTATGAATGTGGTAAACACAAAATATGGTCTTTGATTGTTCAGTAGTGCGTTCTTTCTTTGGAGGGATTGTTCATCGTAGAAGTTCTGTTTGGTTGTCGTTTGTGGGGGAATTATTGTCATGGAACCATTTTCGGTATTCTTGAAGAATTCATCAAGTTGAAACTGAAAATATGAATGAAAAATGAATGGAACAAAGAAGAAAAGAACGATTGGCGAGAAGGAAAACGAAATGCGTGGAGGCGTGGCACGGTTTTGAAGACTGTTGAACAGGACGGACTGCTGGGGGTTCATTACGAGCTGACCTAGGGAGCGGACAGACAGCACACCGAGTCGGGTATCAACCGCAGAATGGTCAGGAACTGTCCACACGATCGTCGACCATCAGCACCACGATTCGACACTCGGGTGGTTGTTCCGATTATTCTCGTGCTGCAGCTCTCTGCGATCATGCAACCTAGTCAAGCATATCCACTTACTGATATTCATCGCTCCAATAATCTTTACAATCAACCTTACGCCGTTCATACTCTGAGTGTTGCTCGAGCTGGCCTCTCACAACATGCCGAACGTATCGCTTATGCTCAGGTCAGTTCTCTTATCTCGAAAACAACACTTATTCACTGTCTCAAAAAATGATCAATCTGCATCGAATCACTTTATACTATTGTCACAAGGAAGTTATATTCTATCATCGCATTCACTTCATATTACTGTATTGCATCTTCGTTTTGCCTCGAACATTCCGCTGATTCTTATTGGATTAAGTGATCACTTCCATTTCATATGGAAAAAATATTTGTGACTTGCTTGCAATTTTACTTAAAAGAATATCCCGGAATTTTTCATGAGGTTGCATTTTTAAAATGAAGTGCTTTTCCAGTAGCACCCACGATTTTGCGCGGCTGATGCCAGAATATTTGTAGGATTTCGAAGTACTTTTATACGAACTGAAAATATTTCTCATAACGAAATTTCTCCGAATAGACAAGTTTTAGTGACGAAAAAAGAAACGTCACAAAACATTGTGGCTAGACATTTCGTCACTATGACGAATACAAATTGATCTATGAAAGTTTTGTTGCCCTTTTAAGTGCAAATATAATTCACTTTTTTTGACTGCGAGTATAATTGCCATGCTTCTGATGCAGTATCTATAAAAAGGAGCGTTTCTCATAATAGATTTAAATAATTCAATTAAAAAAATACCAATGGGCATTTCTTCTGTTCAAACTACAATAAGAACAAGCGAAAAAACCCTTTTTGTCACATTCAACCACTGATCTCGTTATTAGTTTCCTTTATAGACGTCTTTTCACACATCCTATAGACAATCCTTTTCGATTTTGGAGAATAATTCATGGATGATGCTTCATTCGACAATCGCAAGCATCAATAAATGAATAGCAAACCTCGCTCATTCGATGAACATTCAAACTGTATAATTCTCTTCGTTCTATGATGTGATTAATTAACGAAAACGAATGACGCACTGTTGAATATTGGGGAAGTTTTTTCCATCAGTGATGATGATATGAACACAATGTCATCACAATTTTTGGGTCAGAAGATATTTGATGAAGAAAAATTTCGAATGGATGATCGAATGCTCGTGAAATTCAAAACGATTACGACTCGTAGAATTAATCAATCTGTTCGAGAGAGTTTCTTCTCTCTTGAAGCACGTGAATTACATTTTTAGTTGAATGAAATGGAATCTATTTCCATAGTTCGGAAGGTTTTTACTACATAAATTGACGAGAGTAATGTTCATCCACGAAAAAAATTCTCAGTTCATGCAAACCTGCTGATTGATTCTTGACAATTTTGCAATTTCAATTGAGTGCGTTAAAAAGTTGCTCAGTGTTTCAACCGAGGAATGAATATTGATAGGTGGCCAATGCAAGAGTGATCACCATTTTTTATAGGAATATCTTCAACATTTCGGTTTTCTGGGAGAGGACGAAGAACTCAGAACGCAAAGCGTTTTAACGAACGCTATCCTCCGGTTTCAGCGATCCGTTTCATTGCCGTTGACCGCCCAATTAGATGACGTCACGTTCAACGAAATGAAAAAGCCACATTGTGCAACTGCGGCAATTCATGCTAGACGCCTTAAGAGATTCGGTTCGAACATTCATTATTTCTAATCGTCTCAGCACAGTTGACAGTCGTCATCTGTTGTGTTTTGAGTGAACAGTCACTTCTTGTATTGCGACTACTGCAGTTCCTTTTCATTGAGTATCACTCTCGACAGCACTCATGTGAACGGGGTATTCCAATCACGACCTGTAAATTCTGCATTCATGAGCTTCTGGCAACTTTAAGGCAAAAGCATTGGTTGTGCCGTGTGCATACAAACGATATCGAATTTTCGTTGTGCATACAAACGATATCGAATACATTGAATTGAATGAGACGAATACCAACACTGGAATTCATCGTAAAACTTGTTCTGAATGTAAATTTTAGCTACAGCTCCATCGTCACGCTGGAATAAACTCACCGCTGATAACGAACTCCATTTGAAATGGTTCATCAGCCACTATACCAAAGACATGCCACGTGCTGAAATCAGGTAATCGTTCAGTCGCATCACCCCCGTTACCACTGAATTAGTTATGAGATATCCTAATAAAACATCTAATCGTGAATGTCAACTCAGTAGTTGACGTTACTGGAGTCCTATCACATCATATATTGTAGAAAATGACCAAGGAAGTTGATTACAATAATACAACGTTTGTTGAGGAGTCGTCAGAAAGTGTAATAAGCGCTAAGAAACTGCAAATTCTACTAATTTTCACGGATTTCATCGAAGCTTGACCTTTCACTGACCCGAAATGGGCTTCCGACGGATCTTGTCCATTTGTAACCGACCGCTGTACAGGGCCATAAGAATGCGAAACAATTATTTGGCATGGCAAACTGAAGTATTCGCTTGCTTGATATGACCACTTTCTGATGATTCACTCCCGATGGAACTTTACTTTGTTGTTAGATCTAAACAATTTCATTTCCATCAATCTGTATGCAGAATCTACAGTATCCTGTTGCGTCATGTTTCACAACATACAGTATGCAGTATAGATTGAAATTTGAATTTTGGATGAGAGATTGATTAGCATTAAAAATTGAATGAATGCATCGCTCGCCACGTATGGCATCAGGACTATAATTCTCTCACCGCTACCGTATCCAGTTCATATGTCTTGGTATTTGATAGCATCGTTACGAACTTCTCATCCATTTTTTATTCATCATCATCTAGCAAATCCCGATGTTTACGCACCTCCCTCTATGGCGTATCAACTCCACAGTATAACACTGCCTTCTAGTTGACCAATGTCTCGTTAATTCAAGGCAATGTGAGTACTGAACAATGAAATTAATGATTGCCTTGAAACACTATTAAAACTCATCAAATAACTTCATCTCAAAATCATGAAAATATCTAGAGAATACTTTTTTTGGAATGTTATCAGCTGTCGGTAAATGGAAATGAACAAAATAAGTCAGAAGAATTAAACAAGTAAAAGTAAACTTGCGTAATGTAATGTTCTTCGTGTTCTCTAGCAAATACTGCTTCTCGTTCTTGTCATCCACCCTCAGCAACCTCTAAAATCGTCTCAGTTTCATTGCCGAAATATTTCACAGCTTTCATTTGTCAAATTTTGACGATCAATGTTCGTTTTTAAAAAATGAAAATTCAAACGGAGACAAATCGGAACTGCATCATTTTCTCAATTTGTTTTCACTATTCCACATCAAAACAACGTAGCATTTTCGTTTGAACAAACTCTCGTTGCGAAGTACTTTTGATGGTGGAGAGAACGCATGATTGTAATAGGCACTTTTAGGAGTACTTAATCATTTTTGATGTTTTCATTCAGAACTTATTTCAACAAATTTCCATCTTCTGCTTGACTATTAAATTCCAGTAAACATTTCATTCAATTGAAAACTATCGCAATTAAACATCGAAAGATGACAAAAATGATGAAGGTGATAAGTAGTGCAAGAGAACGATATTATTAGTGATTATTAGTAGTGTAGATCGATCGTTCGCAAATCGTTCGCTATGTGGTCAACGCAAACGAAGATTGCGTCGATGCCATCGGTGACGCTAGAGTTCGAGGAAGCAACTCGAGAATCAGATGCCGACATAACGATTCTTTGGGCAAAAGGTGACCACGGAGATGCGTACAAATTCGATGGTACCGGTAATCACACGAATATTCTCGCGCACACCTTCTATCCAAATTATCAAGAGACCGGAACACTCAATGGTGATATACATCTTGGTGTGTTTACTTTGCAATCGCTTTATTTTGCAGTAGCATGGCTGATTCAGATATTAATGTTAAGAGTCAGTACTACTAGAGAACTGGTCACCTAGCACAGAGAATGTAAATTCCTTCAGAAGGGGCCATTTTGGCTTATTGCATGTGATGATTTACCTTCGAGCACGCGCAATTTTCTCTGATTTCTTGGCTTATGCCACTTTCACAGTATACAGAATGAATGACGGATAGTTATTTAACGTTTTCAATTGACTAGTCAGTCATTGTGTGCCTTGAGCGAGCCATCACAAGCATTCACTAGATAAGTGCCTTTGAAATGGTATTCGTGGTTCTCACAAATTCGAAACTTTCATGCATTATTCCATCAATGAAATAATTAATTTTGCATTCAGATGATTCCGAAAAATGGACAAGTGATGGTAGTGAAGAAGGAACTGCATTTTCGAATGTTTTCATCCATGAGATTGGGCATGCGCTCGGTTTGGGCCATAGTAGACGAAAAGATGCGATCATGTTTCCGATCTACAAGAAGGATGTTCTTGAGCATGGCTCCTTTGATCTAGACGATAAATGTGCACTGAACTGGAATTACAGTGAGTCGTTATGAATAATGCTTCAAGTGCGAGGTATTTCCCTTGAAAATCATTATTTGTTAAATGATGAGATGAATTCAACGATTCACTTTGCAGTTGGACCAACAAATTTTTGTTTGTTCGTATGGCTTATGTCAGAGGTGCTGCCTCGTCAAATCGAGAATGAGGAATCTGACGAGATGGCAAACGATTGTGAGCTCATATTTTCGTTCTGATGCATTTGCTATCGTTACTTGAGCGTGTAGATGGATTTAGTTGAGAAATATTCTCATGATTATTGAATATGCCAAAACGATTGTAAATATTCGCTGGAAAAGCATAACGAACGTACAGTTCTTGCGTCGAATTTCTTAGCAAATTTTTCGCCAAATTCAATGAATTTGTCAAGTTTCATAATCTACAAGATTGAATCGATCTTCAATTCTACAAATAAATAAACTCGAACGATCTAGTGGTCGTTTGATCATATTCGACCACTTCGTTTGTTTTTAGAACCAATCAATGATGACTGATTACATTATTTTAAAATCTCAGTAATTACTTAATTAATTGAATCGTTGTTTTTTCAGTGATGAGTACAATGCACACCGTAGAACTGAGTCTTACATCGAAAGTGGATGGATTAAAGCAGAGGCTTCGTGGTAAGATTTGATAATTCAGTGACTTTGATAATTTAAGATTGAAATTTGATAATTCAAGATTGTCGACAATGGGATCCCCAACGAGGTACCATTCCTTGACAAGTTTGTTGCCAGACCTTTTGGCCAGAACCCCACTCCCCGAAAGAATTCCTCCCCGCCGACACTCCCTCCCGATGGATTTGCTCTTCGACTTTTTTGTCGCGCTTCCCAGCCACTTTGCTTCCAACAGTATCACCCGCCCCCTCATGCGAAAAAGTTGCTACCCGAGGTACACCAGTGACAAATGAAAATGAGCTTCATTTTGAAGTCAATATCATTGACGGCATCTGTGGACAAAATAAGCACTGAGATAAAGTGGAGGCGTACAAATTTGACAAATATCACCTAGGTTATCGTTATCTCAACACTAACATCATACGCTATCATAATTTTGAAGTTTCCATCAGAGCACACAATCAGCTATTCTGTTATTGCCATTTGCTCGCTGAAATGGGTTGTTTAAGTCTCACTCAATCATTCAATTAAGTGTAAGTACAATTTCGGAAATTATCATAACTTAAAGCGATTAGCTATCAAATTTCAGTAAAATTAGTTCATTTTGAACAGCCATAATATGATTGTTTGCAGAAGTGGCGATACCTCAGTGCAGAGATGACAACGATGTGAAGCGTAAATTTGAAGAGTTACTACAAAATAAACTCAACTTACCCGATGAAACCGCACTTTCATACAGTTAGTCATCAGTCTTTGCATTAATTGCAGATTATGTTACAACGAGAACAACTTGCGAAGTATAATATATCCTCGGATTTAATGAGAGTCTGCATTTGGCGAGGAACGCATTGAGTTGCTCTGAACAATTTACGAAAGAGAAAACAGTAATGCAAATGAAAAGACCTCATGATTGTATCTTGATTATACGATGACGTTAAATCACGCAATTTAACTTGTTAGCCCTCATGACAAGCAAATCGGACTAAGTTACATTCAATGCTCGATGACATTTGAAACGATTTTGTGGTTATTTGATGCGCGCAACAGTCATCATTACTGAACGTTCTTTGTGATTTGAAGTTTGATTTTGTTGGCATTGAATGGACAGTTTGCTGCCGAGTAGTGGAAATGAAGTTGTGTAGAAGATCTGATAAGGTTCAGTCACAAAATTAGACACATTTTTGTATCGTGTCCTCTGTCGTTTAAGTGCAACACGTAAATATTGCGATACGCCTCACTGTATGTTTGACGTGCATCCCTATAGATTAACTGAACGAAGTCGAAAATGCAACCTTTCTCGGAGCAGTATACATACCAATTAACTTCTTCACTGGAGTCTATTGCAAATAAATTCTTCAACCCACCACTTAAAGATATACTTCACTCGTCAGTTTTTTGATTGCTTTTCCTTACCTCATCTCATTCCAGCTGCATAGATTATTGTTGGTCCAGACGTTTCGGGTTCTTCTGTTTGCTGTCATCAGCTGAATTCAGCGAATTGTATGATCTGCCGAGTAGTGTTCTCATCCTAATCATAAGACAGCAAAAGACATTCAGCGAATCTCTCTAAATTTCAGGTGACGTAGTATGTAATTTTTTGAATGGATTGAATAAGTATACTGAAGAAGAGGAGAAAGGAAGAGATTTACGATTGAATGGTAATGAAATCGAAGATGAAAGAAGTAGTGGTGATGAGAGTAGGCTCGTGCAGATGGCACAACAATTCTTTAGGCAGCATTCATCGATACTGCAGCATATGCCACGTCGTCATCGACGTCGTCTAGCACCCGCGCATCGTTTCAGACATCAACACACTTCACCCTTCGATACCAACTTCTTCGATAGATCATTTTTCAATCACTTCTTCACTTTCTTAGCTCAGTAATCATCGACTATTTTTTACAGTTGATGTGCATTTATTAACTCTTATAACTTCACTCCTCCGTTTCTCATTCATTGTATGATCTTGATTATATCCCGAAGAATATGCAACTTGGAAGCAGCTCGGGCATTAGGATGAGAACATTCAAGGGTAAATTAAAGACGGGAATGTGCAGTTTGGTAGCCAGTGAGATGGGAGGGAACATTTGAAGGAGGGTAAACTATTGAGTTGTGGTATACATTTGGTGCTAAGCAGATATTTTCAATTTGAAATGCTATCGATGCACAAACATTTATCTAGGAACGGTCACAAATGTTAATGGGAAGTGGGCAACTTAATATAAGCTTTCAAGAAGATATTTAGTTGCTGGCATGTCCATATAATGAATTCAGTGTTATTCATTTCTCGTGGTTAGAAAATGATTGATTTTGATGATGATGATGATGATAATAGTGATGATAGATCAGATCAACACGTTTACGATCGAATGAATGAATGTTTTGGGATGCATCAAAGATTTCAAATGTCACACAATCAATTCTTGGGGTTACACCGAACATTATGGCTTCTCAACAGGTTTTTTCAAATGGAATTCTCTAAAAACGTTCCATTTTCATGAGATAAGATGGGAGGAGACAACAGATAAGAGGAAAGGAACAATGAAATACGAAAAAATTCTAATCGGGTGCCATAAAATATTACATCTTCAGAAGATGATAGGATTCGATAAAAAGAATAACTTCAAAATATAATGAATATTTGTAGACAGCGTTTCATGATATCGCCTCGAATGGGTACAATTTATTACATTGAGCTGATAGTTGAGTAAACATTTTTCGATGATTCCAGTCATCAATCATAAAAACTTGCTCGTTTCTCGATTGTCTGAGAGATATGAAAGTAACAGAATATGGGGAAAATTAAGAATATATTCTCATTTATTTATAGCAAATCAGCCAATGAATTAATCCTCATACTGATCCAAAATGAATCCAATGTTTTTCGTTGGGTATAGGAAGATGTGAGAAGAAGAAGATGTTGTAGAAGAAGATGTTCGCGTGCTACCTTTCCATTATGTTTGTGTGATTGGGAAAAAAAAGAGGAATAGACTTATTCTGCGTAACAGTGTTGGTGCGATGTGATCTTGCTACAGTAATTCAATGCCTTTCATCGCATTTACTTCCGGGTGTATTTTGAACGTATGAGTGGGGTAAACATGTATTTTGTGAAAACGTTTTCTTCTCGAGTTACGGGAGGTCTGTACTGGGACACAGTTACAGGACAATGTAATTTTGAGACGGTTGCCTCAAACAGATTTTGAAAACCACTTTCCCCTCTAGCAGATTTGTAGCAAGCGCAATCTTTCCGTGATCATTTACTCTTATTCGGCCTCAGCCATCGACATTATAATGCGCAATGTTGATGCTGCATTCTAATGCTGTCTGTTACTGTGTCCTATTATAAACTTCTCAAACTTCACAGGGAACGATTTTCACACATCTTACAAATTACATCTCAAATGTCCTAAATATAGTCTGCATTGGAGAACGAGAAATCTACCTTTGTGAACATTGAAGCGATCGCAGATCAACTGATGATTTCATTGTGTGCAATCGATTTACACATCCAACTCGAGAGAACTGCTCGAAACTGAAGCACTTCTGTCGATTTCATTAGTTCAATTACCTCAAAGTGTGGTGTACTTCAAAACTTCGCGATTCTAGTTAGATTGGATAGAATAGTTTATAGAGATTTGCTACTCTAGTACTCTAATAAGCAATTTTGCTCCTTCGCTATCTTATCTCAGTTGCAGAATCATCTCTATTTTCAGTTCTTCATTTTTTAAGTTTGGCAAAAAACTGTTATCATTGGATTTGCTCAAAGACATAATGGAATTTTTTGATAGCCGATTGTCTTATAGAAAGATGTTATAGAAGGCTGATTAATGCAAATTGTAAAATAGCGATTGAGGTTTAACTTAGAAGGGATCTCTAAAAAATGAGCAGATTGAATCATCTCACAATATTCTTCTAGAAAAGTTAGTTGATTTTTTAGTTTGTAATATATATATTATATGTGTACGTATGCTGTAATATCATTATTACTGTGCTACTGATGTGAGTATCTCAGCTCTATTTGTTGTATATTTTGTGGGCAATTTGTTTTATTTCATGGCTGTATTGCTTTTAAGTGCATCGTTTTTGATGGGTGCATTATATGATCAATATTTTATTACTAGTGCTGCTATTATTATTGCTACTATATTACTGTTATTATTGTTGTTGTTTCTTGAATCAAGATCTCTTTTTTTAATGCTCTGTCTAATGCACTTGATTACAAAAAGCAGTTGTGTGGTATGTCGATGTCTTTTCCAATCTGTTTCCTTGTCGAGAATTGTCACTGCATTGAATCTGAACATTGAAAATCATAATCAGTCGAAATCGAAGACGATGTGAAAGGATTCTTTTGAATATTTCCTCATAATTACTCGTTAATTGCTCTTCAAATGATGCAATGAAACCGGTGTTTTTCTAGATATGAATGTGTGATGTATTCGAGTACAATATCATAGATGAAATTTATGTGACGTGTAAAGATTGTGTGCAATTAATTACGAAAGAACTGATGTGCAATATAATGAAGTATACTTAATGTGGACTCGAACATAAATGCTATGAAGCGATTTTGTTATGAACATTTATTCGTTTCATTTTTACACGAGATTTTCGAGATATATGACGATGAATCAATTTGGCATTTAAAATCATCAATAATCGAGTACATATCATTACCCAGAAACTTTCTGAATACAACGAAACATTGGCTGCGAATGCGATTGGAAAAGTTTGAGCCATCAAAGGGAAGACAGCAAAACGTATGCAACAGTGAAATGATCATGATCTCGGAAGGAATCATTCAATTGAATGATGAAACATTGAAAATTGCCACAAACAAGCGCCAAACAAGCCTATCAAGTTATTTGATCATGAGAAACAGTACGTTATCAGCTGTTTTCTTGAAACGAAAATTATTTTCAACAGAGAATTCTGTTGATGATAAAAAATTATCTTTTTTGGCGGTTTTTGATGATGATGGAAATTTTTTTGGTGTTGTAATGCACGTTTCGCTCGATCATTAAAATGTTTTTTGTTATGTGACAACATTATCAACTACAACAGTAACAAACGACTAACCGTAACAATTTTGGTGAGATGTGATGTTGGTTACGAGAAGACGGAAGTATCGAATGAATAATTTTTGTTGCGGTGCACGCTCGTTTCTAACTAGTGATGATTAGAGAATTTTTTTGAAATGAAATGACTAGTGTAGTGTTTTGCTTGATGAAGAAGTTGTTCTCGAACAGGCGTCACGTCACATCAGATGATTACAAAAATTGATCATTTGAATGTAACCAGACGAGTTTTTATTCGTTTCAAGTGAAATTTCATAAACTCAAAAACTTCTTCTCCGCTGGGATTGTATCAGTTCGATTGAATTTTCGAAATTGTCACGAAACTTCCAGTCTGTGCACACAACAACAGCAATTCCATCATTGCCTTCAACAAGCTTTTTCGACAAGAAAACAAGCGATCGTTGTGATAAGCAGAAGTTCTGCACGCTAATTGCAACTAATAAATCATCTTCCAAGGGTGTCACTCATAAATCATTCTAACAACTAATCCATAAAACTATCGTACCATTCGATTACCACATTTAATATCTGCTTTTAAGTACGCTATTTTCGAACTTCACAACATCTAAGATCCGCACAAAATTTGCTTCGACTCTGAAAATACTCTGAAAAAAAAAGTCAAAGAAAAACGAACTGCAATTGACAATGCTTAGTTGTGTTCGTTCAGCAAACCTGCAGTGATTACTATGAATTGCCATCGCCACGAGAGCAATTACTTTGAGAAGCACTCTTTCGCGAGGAAACCTATGAATGTCACTGAAATAGCAAATTTGCCTTCATTGAACCATTTTACGAATCACAACAAGCGATTCGCAGGAGGGGTCTGGTGTCTGAACACAATTGTGAATTTATATAAGTATGACCTAGTTAAAAATCATCATTCTGAACGGAATCGATATGTTTGAAATTAATGTTTGTTCGCTTAATATTGTTATATTTCGAATGAGAATAGCATCATCGCAAACGGCTATGCTATAAATCAACTTTATCAATACCACAAAACACATCTGAAATTTATATACATGCACACAGATGATAATTAAATAACTAAATATAGTAGTGCTCGAGAATGTCGGTCACCCTATTGCATTCTCGTTCATCGAAACCTCATTCATCCGTTTGTCTTTTTATAAGATTATCATTTGACACAACCCATTAATGACGAAATTTTGCAATCGGACTTTATCCAACCAATTTTCTTCATCTCTGATTTATGATCACTTATTGTAATCTCTTGTTTTATTGGCGTTCTTGTATAATGCTGCTTGAACATTATTCTGGTACATTCAGTTTTATGAACTAATAACATTCTAGTAACTCAATTCGTAAACAACAAACAAACTACTACGTAAACCAATTAATTAAATAAATCAACTACTACTTAAGACGTTGTCATCGAATAAGTAAACACCAATTAGGAACAAATCCACTTTGGTATACAATAATGCAATTCACAATCGAGAAAGATTCGGTACATGAAACTGAAACAGAATGAACGGTTTACTTGAAAATCAGAAGCATCTCAAACGTTTTGCGATAATTTTTGAATGCTGCTTGAACAAGTCATATGCATATATAAGGAATCACTGAAAGGTAACGAGGAATGAACATTTCAGTGAGTTTTTTGGCATATAGTAGGTGCAAATTATTGCCAGCCCTCTGGTGGGTTCCATCCGTACGTGGTCACTGCTTTATTCACTAATTTAATAAATTCTCTTTGACATTCGATCCTGGATTTACCTGAAAAAGTTCAATTTATCATTATCTATCAATCATTATGACGATTCAAAGCAGTTTTCTACGCTGCGATTACAGTTCATTTCCGGGAATGAATTCAAAATGCCATTTCATTCCTTCAAGACATTGATTCGAGGGGTTTTTTGCGCAACAATAACTTGTGAGGATGCATCGAAGACGATCTCCAACAATGCTTTTGTTCATTCCTACAAAAAAGGAGAACGAATATTTCTCGCCAATGAGGTTACTAATTTGACTCTTCAATACTGGATGATCGATCGTTCCTGGATTCAGAATGGAACGCATCAAAATTTTCGCATGCAAAACGAATTTGATACACTGTTCCACGCTATCTTGATACTCAACACGTTTCAAAACATTCTCACTCAGTCTTAATCTAGGACAGTCGACCATCTTCCAAAAAAAAAAATCATTGAAACACTTATTATATTAGAACGATGTGCACTGTTAGGGTGATTTCATATGACAAGAATCACATATTGTTCAGTTTTTTCAGGGGAAGGGACGAAAAAATCTCACGATCTCACGAAAAAAAAAACAAGTGAAAAAGTGAAATTTAACTGTTCAGAGTTCACTGATTATTGATTCGTAGAAATGATTTAATCTTGATTAATTCGCTATTTGAGCTCGTCTAACATCTGAAACTCTACCGAAACCTGTTACCGCACTCAAAAACTGTCGTTATCCTCAACAGTTGCTCTGACAGCGTACACTTTAAAAGAATACTAAAAGTGCATAATATAGAACACATCTACACTAAGTGCATTCCAGATAGCATTACGACGTTCGTCTGCGTAAACCGTGAAAATATCAAGAATGTGTGAAGTTTTGCGAGTTTTTGATTTTTGATTCTCCTACAGAAATTCAAAATGAGAAAAAGGTGAGAAAAAAGAAAAAAACTATTAGTGAATTCAATACTCACTGATAAATTGATACGCTTACGAATGATAGAGTCGAATATTTATGTAATCTAGACACATAACATAATTTATTATTGGAAATTTTAAACACTGAGAAAAGTGTTCATCAACGAACACATTTCTCAGGTGTCGCTTTGGCACATTTGCAGAAATAAACTACCCGAATCAGTCACTCACGTCAACACAAATAAATCAACATTTTTTAGCCACTCTTCTCGAGAACGAATACAATTGATGAAGTCGTATTCGTTTTCGAAAAACAACAAAAAACGCAATTCTCTTGTTCAATTCGAATGTGATCAACACTAGAAAAAGATAACAATTCGTTCAGTGACCAACACCAACCGTTCAGCATTTTCCACTGATCGGCGCACTTCAGCCGATGATTACCGTCTGAAAAGTTGCATCAGTGCATTACATAATTTCGATATGAATTTTGTGCAATTTTGTGCAATTTTGTGCAATTTTGTGCAATTTTGTGCAATTTTGTGCATTTTGTGCAATCATAATATGTGCAATTTCGTAAACGGGCAACTTGAATTTCCAGAATTTCAGCCGTCTAAGTATAAAACCATCTCAAATAAGAGTCGTAATATGAACACAACAAACGAAAATCACGAAAAAGAGCATTTCCACACCGCTCGAAAGCGCCAAATTCACCAACAATAACGAACACCTACCATAATTTCCACTCGTTGCTTGCATGTAAAGTGCGTTCAGTTGCTGAATGTTCTCTTCTGGTACATCAAAATTACCGTATTCACCCTTATATCCAGCACGACTCATTTTGTCGATCGCGTTCGCAAAATCCTGTGCAAAAAAAAACTAAAATGAGCAGATTCCCGTCTGAGTGATATTCAGTTATTTTGAGTGATATTCAATGTCTAATTATTATTTCGGCTAATGAGCACTACTCTTGATTACTATTCAAAGTTGACGGTAACCCTACGGCAACTCCACTCAAGCTTTCCTTATCGATGAAATCTCACCTTATCCCGCCATAAATCTTGGTCCTCCTGATGTCTACGTTTCCAGTACGCCTCGAACTGTTTTGCCTCTTCTTCAGCTTCCTTCTGCTCGCGTTGCCATTGCAAATAACTGCATTAAATAACTATCGCATAAAAACAACTCGCATGCAACAGTTTATTCATTCATCATTCTCACTTTTTTAGAATCTTATTTTTCATGAATGTACTATAATTTATGAGATTTTTGGGTATCGTACAGCATCAAATGGTCGAGGACGATGAGCGATTCAGTGGCTAGAAAGCGATGAACATAACGTCTTCATTGTTCGAACAATCGTTGACATCTTCGAATTTTCATGCTTCTAACACTTCTCTTTGCGCACTATCCTTTACTACACAATATTAAAACTTCAACTACCGCGCATCAATCTTGCTGAATGACCTCTAGATTTTGTGAAATTGTGATTGGTATTGTGAAATTCAAGCGATACCAGTATGTTCGTTGGTTTAATGATCGCGACTGATTATGATTCGGCAGCATTCGCTACTTAATGTGTAAATACAAATCACAGGCTTTCTGTAGGCAACGGTGAACAAATAAATTTCATGAGAAATTATTGTAATATCATTCTGACATATTTAGTATGAAAAAAAACGTTTTCGAATATTTTCCCATCCTGAACGATCAAAGCAAGCAGACGCTTATGAGACAGGTATTTTGAAAACAGATTGTTGCCAGTCTCATTACCGTATTCGAGCGTCATTGTTCTTGCTCTCGCGTCTTGACAATAGTTTTTGAATTTCGTTCTCTAATGAGCTTTCATCGATTGCGTCAGCATGTTGTTTCGAATCCTCCAATGAATTTCCATCACTGTTGTCCGAATCAGATTGCGAATACATATCGGTTTTGTTGTCTTTTTTCACGGATGCCATCTTCCGAAAACTGACCATGAGAAGTTTATTCATCAAATGAATTGATTAATAAAACTATACGTTTTAAACAATGAACATAATTTATGCAGAACAATTTTAAAACAACAAATAATACAGGTGAGTAAAATAAAAATGATAGTTTATCAAATTGACCCAACATAACTTATACACGTTCATTTCAATTAACTAAATAAAATTTGTGTTGTCGTTCAGCTCTGCTGAGTGCGAAACGACCGAGACACTTCAACATAGACAAAACTCGTTTAAATAATAATGAAACAATCAAACACTGGATAGATATGAAGCATCCAAAATGAGATTTGATGTGACAGTTTAGTAAAGACAACAAAACTGTTATACTGACTATTTTAGTGAACAAGAGGTCAACGATACGATCATCACAGGCTGAACTTCCAGGATTGAATACTATACGGACATTAGTTGTCAGATAATTAGCTTCATTTGTTTCGTTGTCAACGAATCAAACCCTCCAACTGCATATGATTGAGCGAATTTGTTGAAATTGAGCGGAATATAGCCAATTGGCTGAATGACTGCTAATAAAGGCGTTACAGCTGACTGCTGCGATCATCATCCATCAACGCATCGATCGCTTTCGTTTCTTTACTCGATTCACATGCCACTGCAATCGCGTCCGCCGCATTTGGCAACACTTTTAATTCGTAATCATTCTAGAATCAGTAAAGCCTTTTGCATGCAGAATTACTTTTGAATATAATTGCGTCGCTTTCGAAAAAGCGACTCAAACACTAATTAGAAGTTAGGCGATTTGGATACGGCTGTAATGATGCGAAACTGTTTTGGTTTTGTAACTAGAAAAGTCACAAGATAGCGCCGAGATTAACATTCATAAGATGTCCGGGTCTGGAATACTCAATGTAAAAATAAATGTCAAGAACAAATATGGCATGGATACATTCAGAATCAATCGACAAGACTCAGAATGTAACCAATAAATATAATATCAAACATAACCAATAATATCAATAAATACTTTTGATGAGTGCAGACGTCGTTTTGGTTTCTTTTTGAACTTCGAATCTTTCTGGAGTTCGTTCAGCTTATCCTGGAACGTAAACACCTCAAAGACTCCAGAAGAAAAAATGATTCCACTCGATAACTTGAACTTCCAGAATACATCTTACACAATAAATTGCATGAAATCTTGGCCATGCTATAATCCTTGCAAATTTGATTACCTAAAGAAAGAAACAAATTCCCCGTGAGAGAAACACCAACAGATTGAAACGTTTTTTTTTAAATCAGAGACGAATAAAATGTTCGGTGTGGTACCTTAGCTTCTTGAGGAATATCGGGATTCGCCTTGAACAGAACCATAAATACTCCGCCCGGTGTCCGCCGTCTACTACCATCAAGCACCAACATCCCTCCAGATAATTCTACTTTACGCGTTTCCTCGAATAATTTCAACGCAAGTGTCTCACCGATCGCCTTCACCGCACTGAAGCAACATTTACATTACTGGGATACGTCATAACAGTCGACAGCAATAGGCTTGAGGTTAAAAAGCGAATAACTAACGCTCCAATTGTTTGTCCATCACGTTCACCTAACGCTTTTGAGATTCGTTCACCCAATTCATCAATATTCAATCCGTTTGGTATATGCGCTGCTTTGAGTGCATCCAATGAATAATTACAACTCACGAGATTCGGATTCGATCCATTTGATTCATTCCATCCACGTTTACGTCCTCTTTCCGCACCACCTCAAAAGTTACACTACTTTATATAACCAGTTGAACGATCACTTCATCGATCAAAATTGTAAGCATAGGATCAGTGGTTGTGTAAAATATAACTCTTACGTCCAAAAGCTGATTTTCGCATTTTGTTTCCCTTGTGAGCCTGTCTTTGACACCGCTTATCCATGTTCTAGAAAACATCATTTGAGATTACTGAACTGAATTCCAGATTTTTTTTAAAACGAAATAATTAAACACTGTGAAAAGAGTTCATCTTTTATGGTGAATGATATTTTCATTTATAACACTGAGACAAAATTCAGTAACCCCGAGAGATCAATAAAATAAGCCAATATTTAAGAAAAGAAAGTACCTTTGATGTATTTGGCTTATCAGTTCCGTCCATGCATGCATCACTGAATAGATCATCACCGTAATTAAGCAAAGGCTATAATAAGGAATTAACAATTCGGCAAGGAGAATACAAGCTTTGCAATGAACTAATCAGTCATTGACATAATTTTATAAATTTTCAAAACCTCTCCGGACTGGCAGATAAGCATCAACTGCGCAAGGTTTAACGATTCTTCAAAAAGCATTTTGGGTCAACTCAATCTGATAAAACGTGGAAGATGATTTTAGCGTGTGAATTGCGGCCGCTTAAGATTTTCAAAATACGATTTCTTCAATACAAAAAATAACATGATAAAAACTGAACAAATATTGAAATAGTCAAACAGTACTGCAGAAAACCTACTCTTTCCTCTAAACCGCTCCGTGTATCTGCATCAAAATGTGCATTGTTGATCTGATGAGCGGGTTTCTCGTAACTTTCGGCACCACGATTAATCTTTGCTGACTCACTCTCTATTGAAAGACCCGTCGAGACACCTTCGGTAATCGATCGTTCTTGGATTACATCTGACCAAATGTCCCATTTTCTCCTTAAACATCAGCAAATCAATGTAATCAGTGTCGAAACAAAAGATCAACAAAATCCTACATCTGACCTCAAAAGGCATGTACTGAAAGAGAAGGTAACTTTGAATACTACAGCCTGTCTAATGATAACTTACTTCTTTGTATTCTCAACGTCTGATCTGTCGTCGTTCTCCAGTCGAATGCACTTCGGTCCAACCGGCAAATCATCGTCTGAAGAATCCGAATGGTCACTCGAATTTCTTCTATTGTAAAACATCCTTGAACAGATTCGTCGGTCGACAATTTGACAGATATGATATTGACCACAATAATTCGATGACCGATTAACGTAACACACTCAAATAATACAATATTTCTATAGGTTTTCAATCGTCAGCATTGGTTAGATCCAGGCGACGATTGTGCCATCAACTGCCTCATACATATTCCGAAATCATTCCTCAGTTCACAACATCGCTGGTAATAATCAAAAAAAGATATACCGGTAATAATCAAAAACGAAGAATATATTCAAGGTATGGTCAACAGAAACCAGATCGAAAAACTAGCTAAGCGAAGAATGATTCAAATGAAACTTCTTTATTCGTAAACATCTACAAAAATGTGAGACACTACGTGACGATAATAAATAAAATCGAATAAACATAAATCAGATGAATTTATGACGGGAATAAAGTTAAAGTTTCAAGAAGTTCCACTCAACAATAAAAATGGTGTTTGAAGTTTACCACTTCAAGTTTACTTTAGTTTGTTTTACGTCAACTTCGCTTAGGAAGAAGCAGCATAAACGTTAACGATTTCCAAGAAGGCGAAACAGATGCGAACTTTTGAAATTATTGTTAAATCGTCCGCAAATGTAAACAATTAAACTTGCGCATGCAGGGAATATTAATCGGAGAGCATGCAGTAATGCTTAATAGAATAACAACTGATTCGAATTCGACCGTAAAAACTGAATGAATCCAAAAGTATCATTACCATGTTTTCCACATATTCATTAGGAGAAACTTGAAAAATCGCTAAAAATTTTCGATAAACTGTACATGCGATGGCTGACAGGCAATAAAGTACAAACAATTAAGAGCAAGCAGACCCGGTAAGCAGCTAGACAAAGAATAATGAAAAAGATAATCGATAACGATTTTCATTAAGCAAAGAACACAAGATCGTTTGAGCAATGAAAAATAAATCCTCATCAATTCGCTTATCGGATTTCAGATTCATAAATCTAAACTTATTCAATAATTCCTCAAAGAATTGATGCGAAACGAGCCAATGCAATAAAGTCGAAAGTTATCGATATAAAATACGAGATGAAAATATGGACGATTGACTTGCAGATATAGAATCACACGAACTTCTAGACAATGGATCGGATATGCGCACTGAACAGCGAACTTGTGAGCGCTGATCATCCCTTATTGTGTCTATTGCCCCATCCTCGACGATGCACTGAAACGGATACGAATCATTAATTTGATAGGACATCTGTGGCCGTTGCATCACTCTGCTTAAGTTAAGAAATGAACGATAAAGGTGCAGCAAATAATTGAGCAATACATCAAACGCGAAATATCAGTAACTATAGACTCACTATCTTTATATTCGTCCCACTGCTGCGCTCTCGCCCTTCTTTCATCTTCAGTTTTTTCATCATCTTCATCATCGTTTTCTAATGCATTTTGTTGATTTGATGGTCCCTTTTGCATATCGCCAAACCTTCAAAATAACGTTCCCTACACTGACTTCTAAGAAAACCCTATCAATACCGACTACCGAGAACTCCATCCTATATATCGTTGTCCGGAGCGAATACATGCTCAATGGAGGTACGGACTATTCTCTTCGTTACATGGAATTGGAGATGGATTTGGAGACTGCAGATAAAGTTCATAATTTCAAAAACCTCCCCCTCATTAACAATCGTTCGTTTAATTCCCTGAAACTTTATAACATGGGCCCAATCGATCACGAATAAATGCAATTACTTGCAGCCCCCTCTGATATCACTCCTAATTTTCGTATGATCCTAGACGAAGTGACTTTAAAAACTTGATGTTAAGATTTAGAAAAACGAAGGAAATCAACAGTATCAACGATAAAGTTACCTTCCATGTTTCATCATATCGTTATACCATTCATCTACCGTTAACGTTGGTATACTCGGATAACCCAAACCGAATACTTTCTTTTGTAATGCATCACGCGTTATGATTATTGGTGGTTTCGATGGAACCGCTTAATTTGAAGATTTCAAGTTAGAGAGTTCAAGCAATCTGTTCCGAAGTACTTATTCAAAGATTCATTTCCTGACAGAATTCAACCAATGAGTCTTAAATTCTGCTGCTAAATTAATCGCTGCGAATGAAAAAGGTCTCAGGCACCGACGTCTGTGTGAAGTTGTCGTATCAACGATCTACGTTTCAAAACAATTGCAGTATCAAATAAGAATTACAAACATAGCATATTCAAAAACAATTCAACTCTGTTTCTCTGCGAGCGAATAAACTTAAGCGTGGAAGAATGCGGATTAAATTTTTACGTTTTTTAGCTTCCTTGGAATGACTTATTTCTCCACTTCTAATTCGCATCATATGCTCGGCCAGAGGACGTTCCTCATCAATCTGTTCCAATTCACTGAATGCCTTGAGAGCAAACAACCGCAGACGTGTCATCAACAGTTCACGCTGAAAATTAAGACAAAATAGATTAACGACACTGAATGCTATAGACTGCAAGATGGAAAGGCGCGTACTGAAGATCCATATAATTAAAGAGTGGATGACTGAAAATTCATTTCGCGATTCTTTTGACCGAACTTTTGGAAGTGGTTCAAAACATTTTGTCTGAACAAGTCAAATCAAAATGAATACACACTAACCAAAACAGAATCGTCATCCGAGTTCAGTGAGCGTTCCGCTTTAAGTTTTTCTAAATTCGACTCCATTTCTTTCTTTTGCTGATGGCGTTGCAATTTCTTGGTACGCACTTCAGCAGGATCGGGTTTTGATCGCATTTTTGTTTGAACCTCTTCGGCATCCTCATCTTCTTTCAACCAAGGTAAAACGAAGCCGATAATTTCGTAGGAGAGCAGACGCTCCAAAAAATCACGTAAATAAATCTGGAATGATTGATCAGATAATACTGAATACTGAATTGATCAGATAATACGATATCAGATAAAATCCATAAGTATAGAAATTAATCATTGAAATGGTTTGTCTGATAGGTATATATGTGATACAATACAGGGACAGGGAACATGATGATTCAAGTAAAAAAGCTGTAATAGGCTTATACGTAGTTTTCGACAATCAAGTGATATACGTAGAACGTATGAATGTGCCCAATGAACAACAGCTGTGCGGTTGAACTAAGTAACATATAAGGGTGAAAAAATATCATCCCTTCACGAATTTCTATTTTACGACACGAACACTGTAGACTGCGGTAATATTGAAGTGAAGTTTCGAGTTATGAATGTCGAACAGAAATTAAACGAAAAGCCGAAGAAGTGCAAACTGAAAACCGAATAACCTTAGCCTGATCAAGTGCCTCGACCCGCTGTTCTGGTTCAACGATAATATTCTGAATAGCTGTTGCCAAATAAGATGGCAGCAGCAGATACTGTAACGAGGCTGTCGGTATGTCTTCCACTGTCTCATTCTTACTGAACAAATCCCGCGCGCATACTTCTCGTGTTAAGTTTTCCAACTTCTCTTTACATTCTTTGAGCCGACCCTTCAAAGTTGCAATTTCGTTTTTGGAATCAGTCAGCTGCACGAAAAAATCGTGGTAAAGTTAATAATGCATGATGAATTCATCTAAATAAGTGAGATAAAATAAGGCCATATAAATTAAGATGACATAACGGGAATCGTTATTTAGTGATGAGTATGCCACTTACACTGGCAATACAGAATATCATTTGATATCACATCCTTCGGTTGAACTTATTTCGAGACGTTAAAATCAGTGAACACACGAATATTACCTGCATTTCTTTGGTACTGAACGTACCACTTTCATTGTCGTCTATCACGCGTTCACAGAACTGAAATTGCTCATCCAGTGAAGTTCCTTCTTTGTCAGTATTTTCCACCGTTTTGACAGTCACATCCATATTTCAATCTAAATTTTGTTGATTTGTTCGGAACGATTCAACAGGTCAAAAAAAGCAAAAGGTAGGATCATAGGAAACATAGAGAAATTAAAGGGATAGAAGTGAACTGAAATTAACGAGTTCAGAAGCAATGAACAAAATGAAACGTTACAATTCAACTACACCGGTTAACGAGAACGTAATAAACCCTTAGCAACTCATTAAATCAACAATACGAAAACATCAGAAACTAACGGCGAAACAGGCAGTGGCACCTTGTCGTCGACCCACCCGAAACAATTGCTGAAGGAAGCACATTCACCGCTTTGCCAAGCACTTGCCACAGAAAAGTTGCCAAGAAAAGCGGGCGCAACTTAATATGGAACGATTTGCCACATTTCGTATAATCCTTTGTGTCATCACGATTTAAGTGTCATTTGAACGTTATACAGTCCATTCCCCATATTCGAACGAATGAATGATAAGGCAATTGTGTGCAATAGATGTTTTTACTGGCTCGAGGTGTTAATATCCGATCAACCAAAAAAGCTCAACGGTAACTACTCTAAGCTTGCCAGAAAAAAACTAACAGCACTTGTAAATATTTATAAATTTCGACTTATTCCCATTCTCTTGAATACACTGATTTTTCTGCAGATGACGGTAGGCAGTGGACATTCTGCAAATATCATAAAAGACGTCATCTGACGATAACAGAATAGCTGTTGAGCGCAAAATTTGGTGATGAATCCGATAATATAACTAGAAAATAAGGATCACGTTTTCAAAACTGATAGGGCAAGCTTCTGTTACGGTATGCTACCTCAAAAGCGTTAGCAGAAAAAATGTCACCGCATGTCCTTATGTGATTCGCCAGAAGCTTCGATTAACTCGGTGACAGATTCTAATTCAAGAAGTATTGAGGAGAAAGCAAAAAAGGGTATTTGCAATCATGAAACAAACTATCAGAAATTATAATTCTCCGTTCGTTTGGTATGATCATTTGTGTTGAGGCAATCTGTACGCTCAGTTTCGCGCAGCAGCTTAATGACGTTTAACGGTGATGTGATTGGGCATAATCTAGGCAATCTATATTACACAGATCACCGAGATGGAATCCTCTATTGCAGAGATATTCATCTGCATTCTGTTGTCTCACAACTTTTGACGGCTTTCGTGTTCAGAGGATCTGTGTGCTCAGTTTTTTTTTTTTTTTTTAGAATGTTATGATGCTTTGAGGTATTCCGTTTGAGCATCGAAACGGGTAATGGAGCTCCCGAGCGTGACAATCACTGCTCTATTGCAACCGAACTTTCAAAAACTTATGTGCCACTCATTATACTGCAGTTTGACTTTCCCGTTTTGGTAGAGTTCTGTGGTATAATATCGTACAAAATAACAAACACTTTTAGACATGGTGAGATAAGGCTAATCACTCTCGATTGTAATCTATATAGCCGCGTAAACTAGGCTTAATTACTACTGAATGATGCAATACGAGTGTTTAATTGGTTTCGTTGTTCGCATTATGTTGCGAGCATGAGTAAATGCTCAGTTCCACTTGCTTTCGGTTGACGTATTATATTTCTTATTGTTAGTTTAAAAAGGCTGTTTCGCGCTGATTTTAGTGTGCAGAGAACTGTGGCAGATCGTTTTGATCATTGAGTTGGCTGATGTCTGCCATCTTTGCCATAGAACACACCACTTTTTTTGTTCACTGAAATTGCGTGATTTCCCCATCGTTTCTTTTTCTGAGTTGTTCTCTTAATGAAATACCACCTTTCCAAGCTATGAGTGGTCATTGTATGAAGCATTCGTTTTCTTCAGTTCGATAGTTAGTTAAACTGAGCTGTCAGAATGACATGACGATTACGGAAGCGTAGGTCGGTTGCTGTCAGTGAAAATAGCCTAAACGACCATGTAATAAAGTTTGGAAGTAATGTGCAATTCATTCAGTGTGTGGACGAAGGACTATATGCGGTTTTTTGGTACTCACAGGGAACGGTGATCAAATGAAGGCCACCATCGAAATGGGTGAGGAAACGATAGAGCGTGATTGCAGTGCAGACAGTGAACGTAAAGAAAGGATGCTGGATGAGGAGGTGATTAAGTTAACGATTGTCTTAATGGTGAATCGGTATCGACCTGACAATCGCTATAAGGAAATTTGCATGCAAATCGAACGGTATAAAGAACATCTCAGTGTTGAAGGTGCTCATTCGCCTATCACTTTTATTATCATGATACAACGGTTCAATTTTATCGATGCTAACATTTTCGTAAACAAATTTCCTACTGCAGATGCCGACAATTGATTTTTTGCATTCAAAATTGACCAGTCATGAGCAAATTTTTATCACTTCATGTGTTCTTATGCTTACATTATTTTTGGTCGAATTCGTGGCTCAAAATGG